GAGAAGAAGTGGAGGACATTGTAGAGTGGGTCTGGCTCTTCTTTGGCAGCTGGTGACCTTCCTGGTCTATATGCTCCGTGACTCTCTCCAGTCTCTTTTTTCAGGTTGCAGACAGCCTGACTCTCTTTATCACTCCCTTGGATCAGCAATTGCTCAACGACATTCTCTCAGTAATGCATCCTTGCTGGGTATCTCTTTTGAACACAGCTATGTGCTTTGCAAATGAAAATACAAGGAGTGAATACGAAGGAAAAAAGTGCTTATGGGTGTGTGTGTGTGTGTTTGTGTGTGTGTGCGTGCGCGGGGGAGGTGTTAATCACTAGCTTTAAATGCTGCTCAGGAATTTTCTGGAATTTTATCAGATTGTTCGGAGGTATAAAGTACAATCTGATTGATGATGTGTGAGACATCGCTTGACTTGAAGGAATTCTCTGATGCAAAGACCTATAAACCTCGACCACTGGGCCACCAAATCACCTCAGTGAGGCTGATTCTTCCTTAAGGATACACCTGTCAAATTCAACTCTAGCAGGATGAAATTCATTAAAATAAATTGATTAGATCAGAAGTGATCGAGCGCCCCTGTTAGACAAATTAATTCTGGCTTTAACCACGAGAAAATACAATTCACATTAGCATTTGTTGGGGGATACAAATACCATCATACCAATTATTTTTCTTTTTGTGTGTGTGAGTGACTTAAAAGAGAGTTACCAATTTTTTTGCCCAGTAGAATAGTGAAAACAGTCAGAGCCCTCTCTTTGATGCGTGGTTCATATGCTTAATACCACAGGCTTAATTGGTTGAATTCCTCTCCTGGCAGACAAGACACTGTACCCCCGAGCACAGATAAAAGACTTCTAAACTCTCTTTTGTAGAGCGAATAGATGAAAGGGCAGAGAAGACAGGAGCTTGTCAGGAAAGAGTCTGTCCCAGCTGCCAGTTGGTGTGCAGGTGTAGCAGACCAGAAGAATGACAGGTTATCATCAGCTCCCTGCCTGTGAAATGAGGCACCTCGTCATCAATTTATGATGTCTTATTTCTCCCTCAGCTCTCGCACCCAATTATCCTCACTTCTGACGGGAGAGCTGGCATGTAGTTTACAAATATAATGCATGCTTGAATTTAACATTTACGGCGTGATCCTGTCAAGTGTTTTCCTAAAAGCCATTAATAAAATGATATTTTTTTTCAAGAGTACTTAAAAGTACAAACCTTAATAACAGAGAAGTATCTGGGTAGATGTCATTTCCATTTAAAGAGGCACAATTAATGCAGAGTACTAACTGCTCACTGCTCATGGGACTGAAAATAGTGATCAGTGGACAACCTGCAAACAGAACATCTGCTTCATGATCAACCCGTCAAACCCTGGAGGAGCTCAAAGACTGTCGTTACGGAAAACACAAAGTCCATTCAGACGAACTGTGAACAAAAATGTCACGCATGTTTCATTTCTTCAAACTCTTCTGGTGTTACAACTTTCAGAGATATTTAGCACAAAACTAATCAAACACAGTTACGGATTTTCTGTCTATTCTAAAGACCGAGAATCCAACCAACCACCAAGTTAAAGCAGCTGGACGGAGTTTTCCTTTTCTGTTGATTTTGGCAGCCACTGTGGACAAAAGCGGAAGTGTTTTAACACATGTTGTCGTAAAGACACTTATCTGGCTCGCACCTTAGGGCTCCAGAAACTAACTTTTTTTATGAGCAGTGTGAGGCAACGTACGCTGTAAATGTATTTAAAATGGGAAGCGAGTCTGGGTCAGCCCACCGCGGAGTGTGAGACAGACGTGGAGCAGCAGGACTACAGAGGTTTGTGACACAGAGCTGCTCTGCCTGTCTGTCTCCGGTGTAGAGGAGCTTCTCACTCCGTGGCTGCAGCTGTACCATGACACGGTGTCTGTAGGAGTCTCCTGCAGCAAGACGTTGTCACCATTTGTGTAGTGACAGTAATATGTGCGTTTTCAATGCAAAACAAAGAGAAAAAGCGCGCGTGTCGTCTTTGGTCTGAGTGCCGTAAATGGTTTCGTTCGTGGTCCTGACCCGACCGCTGGCTCCCGTCTTCCCTGTTTTCACTATTTAGAAAGAGCTTATCTTCACACAGATGAGCAGGTGACAGACATCAGCAGAAACAAGAGACTGTTTCAAATCTAGTTAAATGTTCCTTACAGGACAACAAACTTTGTACTTGGCTAATCTTGGTATGCTTTACAACCTTATTATGAACAAAGAATAGATTTTGACCAAATTAATATAATTCAAGTGCCAATTCATTGTTGTAGTCTCTGTAAAGGATGTGGTCAGTCCTGTTTAATGCAACACTTACATAATCTAACTGAACAGGTCTACTCTCTGAGGGAACAAGTAGATGGTTTAACTTTGACCTGGGCTGTTTCAGTCTCATGGAGAACTCTAGAGTGAACCAGCGTCTTTCCTTTTCCTTCGATTTTCACACAAGTTACAGGGTTTGAGAGACCACAGAGCCAGCCTCTGAACTAGTGTTAGCTTTTTTAAGGGAATAACAATGATGGCAGGGTGGATATTTAACTCTCATTGGCACAAAAAAAAAACAAACTAAAACGGTTAAAAAAATGGAAAAACGTGTATTTCATCTCGCAGTTTTGTCAGTTATGCATTTCCACTGGTTAGTTAAACACGAGGGTTCAAGGTGATACTGTCCACTAAAGAATATAAATAACTGTCATTGTACGTGGTATATAAATCTACATCTTTCCTTCTTTGACAGATAATTTATACATACCAATTAACACTTTATTTAATCACCTAGAGATAGATAATACATTCACACATGATACAATATACGATGGAAACTATCTCTCTCTATATATATATATATGTATAAGTAGTAGGGCTCAATTTTTTATGACATTCACAGAGAAATTAACTTTCTATACGGCTATTAATGATACAGTCACCAAAGAGGTACGTCTGTCTTCATCTATTCAATATCTGGATCTATTACCATCATTTTTATTACATAGATCTAATAATATTGAATAAAACTGGACACTTTGGGGTTTTATGTCTGTCTTTTGTACAGTATTATTGTTATCAAGAGAGTGTGTGGCTAATGTCATTTTCAATATATATCATGACATCTGTATGACCATGTTCTAATAAGGTCACTATGGCTCATTATGTGGCTGTAACCTCTTTCTCGCAGCTCATAAGTTCTGTCTGTCTCAGTCATTATCACTAAAAGGCATTTTGTCAGGAGTTCTATGGTGTTTCAAATCCTCTTAATGACAGTGTGGCAGGTTGAAGGAAGAAACTATCACATCCATTTCATTCAGTGGGCTGTTACATGCATGGTGAAAATCTTCAGTAGAACAACAAAGGCATGGCAGGGAGTCGGTGCTGCTCTTTCCTGAAAGAACATGCACCAAGAATAAAAATATAACTGGTAAAAAGTGAAAATTCCACGATGCTCACTCACAGTCTTCCTTTATTTTTCAGTGCTTACTTCTTCTTCTTTTTTTTTTTTTAAATAAAAGAAATTAAATAAACATCCCCGAGTATTTCTATTCCTGAAGTGTTGGTCTAGCTTGTTTGTGGACACATGCAGGGAGGCTTTTTTTCTCTGACCTTAAATTAAACCGATCTAAATTCCTGATAAGTATACCTGTATCGCCTCAACTGTGATCTTATCAGTCATCCCTTCTTCTTCAAGATGACTCACAGTATCATCACTGTGATATTAAACATATTTGATGTGGGCTGAAATTTCAAAACATGACATTTAGCTGCTGTGTTTACAATATATATATCAAATCCAAAACTGGCTTTAAGAAATTTCAGTCTTTGTCATCATTGTATGGTGCAAAAACGGGCAGACTTTCCCTTACGTGGTTCATGAATCTAGATTAATTTGCAGAGATGTATCAATAAGTATTATTCCACATAAAAATATCCATTTATCTAGAAGGGAATTGGATATCACAGCCCACAGGGAGCCATTATTGAGCACTATTTCGGTGCATGGTGTACCTCTGCAACTTTGTGTTGGCTGGTCAAGAAGAGGAAACAGTGAACAGCAGTCAATCTGTCTTAGAGGCGACATCACACTGAAACTGTTTTTAGAATTTACTTTTGTTATTTATAGTCTCTTAAGGAGAACTACAGTGAGCAGAAGATAGTGGGATAGACTATTTGCATGTATCCATATTGATGGCATGTGAATGGGCTTAATTATTCTTTATCTTGGCTGAACGGTTGGTGCTACATATGTGAATCAAAAAAAGTCCAAATTCTGATAAACATAGTATTTTAGTACACCATTATTCCATATAAAATTAAAATTCATTATCATCATAGTTGTCATCTGAAAAGTAAAAAAGTAGAGACAGGGACTTGGTCTAACTGAATATAGGGTACACGTTTTACTTTGATTTAAGTACCACGCATAAAGAAAAGCTGCATGCACTAATCTGTGCTAATGTAGAAAAATAAGAAGAAAGAAAACAAAAACAAAACTCCATGAACGGTATAACTGTGCCATGAAAGAAAACTACCATCCTCGAGTGTCTTTATGCATCTTTATACCTTATGCCATCTTTATCATGTGAACTTTCCAGAGTAGCAGAGGACAATGCATTTGATGAATTTTAAAAATGTTGGAATGCAGACTCACGTTTGTCTAAAAATAAACTCCTACATAAAAAAAATCACAGTATCACATTCCACTAGAAGAATATACAAAGTGAAATCCTATTGATGATCATACTGCGTGATTTCTCAGCAGTTTACAGTGAGGGTTAGCTGTTCACATGAGATCCTCAGATCTCAGTGGGACAAACTTGGTTAAATAATAATAATAATAATAATAATAATAACAATAATAATAATAATAATAATAATAATAATAATAATAATAATAATAATAATAAAGGTTAAATAAAATAAATCAGTTTACAGAGAGGGTTAGCTGTTCAAATGAGACGAAGCTGGGTGGCATCCAAATCTCACGCATGCGCAGTAGATATAGCTTTCTAGCCTGTGAAGCTATCAGCCTGCTAGCCAGCTGTAAGCTAGCAGAGATATATATTAGACAAAGAAGTCTGTGAAAGAGATTGAGTGAACAGAGTTTAAAAGTCACGGAGGATACAGGGAGTGACCGTGACACAAAGCCAAATGCGTTAGTCGGCATTTATGGAAGTATGAAAATGAAAGGTAGGCCTTTTCGATATCTTTTTAAACTTTTGTGAGCTGTTGGTTCTGACATTAGCTATGCTAGCCGCTGGGCTAGACTGGACTCAAAGCCGAGCATCGATGCTAGCATTGTTTGTTAGCATCCTGCAACAGGGATCGGTGAGGCCCTTTGTTTTAAACCGACTAAAACAGGCTTTAGATACTAAAGTATTTATTCTATTTAAGTTGTCACCAGCCCGTCGTATTTCATTAGAGTGAGACCTGTTGTTAGTTTGTCTGATTTTCGCATTAATAACATTATATGAACGGATTTGTCTCCAGGAGGGTGAAGCTAGCTGAGATGTGTTGGCTATTTTTGCGGTCCAGTACTGAACAGTGTTAGAGCTAATGTGAACACTAATGTTAGCTGAAGACGCATTAAAACCCAAACTGAGAGATTAGCCTGATTCAGAGGATGCAAACAGACATTATTGTCCTTGACTTACAGATCTGAGGTTAATAAAGACTGTTAGTCCGCTGCGGATAAACTGAGACGCGGATTTGTTGCTGGTTCGGAACTCAGAGTTCATCACTTTAGCTGACGGTAAATTACAGAATCTGCATCCTGCTCATTTCAGTGTTCTTTCTAAGTGTAAATGAAGGTAACTGCGTGACATATACTCACAGCTACAACACGAGGGAAGCTGGAGTGAAATGTTAAAACTCGCCAAAGTTAAATTCTTTTAACTTTGAATGGCAGTAAAGTGACCATGAACCTACAGGAAAAGCCTGATTCCAGCTGTGTTTGAAGCTAAAGAGCACATCTCCCCTGACAGGTCACACTAACTAAGTTTGAGTTGTTGTTCCTTAGCCTGGGTTAGCAGACTGGTTTATAGCACTCTGAAACAGGCTGGAGCTCCACTCAGAATCAGAACAGCTAACATTGAATAGTCAGTTGAAGGCCTTCAGTGCTACAACACCTACTCCCCCAAACTTTAACAGATAACTAAAATTCTGAAAATGGAAGGTGTTATCTGACTTTAATTAGGTGTGACAGTTCAGAACTTCAGTTTCAGATACTTAGGAAGTGGTCGCTCACTCACAGATGCTCTTTGATAAGGTCGATTCTTAAAGGTTTGTGTTTTCTTCCTCCAGAGTGGAAAATGAAGATGGGGCCATGAGGGATCCAGTCACAACTTAGAAAACTGCATTGTTGTTGTTTCATCCATCCAAGAGGTGATGAAAAGATTTTGATTTTCTCACATATGTTTGCTGTTTAGTTTTCACATTTAACTATCATAACTTCAGGTATCAGTACTTTGCAAAGGCTAGAGGACTCCATAACTTTCCAGTGTGTGTCATAGTGTGTCTGCTGTTTTTCGGACGGACACCAAGCCCCTTATTATGAGCAGAGCACTCATAACTGCTGTATGCGACCAACAGGCTGAAACCCAAGTCAACCCCCGCCGCTGACCACTAGTCTCAAATTGAGGAGTCCTTTCAATCACAGGATTTGTGCACTTCAGCCTCTAATTGCCTATTTTACATGATCACAAGCTTAAGAAGCAGAAAGGTGTTATAAAGTGATGCTTCCAGCCATCTTCATCACCATATATCCAGCACTTCTTTGACAGCAAAGCAGTCACTTGCCTGTTTGAGCGCCATGCTCTAAGTAAAACTTCATAATGGAATGAAATACCTTCCTCAGAATTTTACACAGCTAATTCACAGGCCAATTCAAGGATGAGAAAAAGAAGGTATTCCTGCATTTTACAGTAATTGCAGAATTTATAATATAATTTCAGTTTTTATAAACAAAATAAAGAAATACTTGCCAGTTTCTTAAAGTATTGATACATCAATACTTTAATCAATTCTTTAATATTTGTTTCAAAAAAAGAAAATAATGAAACCTTTCTTTGTTGATCAAAGGGAAAAACTCAAAAACCTTTCATATAAGACAAATATAAAATCAGGGAAAAAAAATATTAGACCGCCCTTGTTTTCTTCCATTTCTTGTTCATTTTACCATCTGGTACAACTAAAAGTGCATTTGTTTGGACAAATGTAATGATAACAACAAAAATAGCGTTTAATAAATAATAGAGTTTAATGTAAGAGATGATATCCAGCCATTTTCATGCTTTTCTTGATAATAACCCAAATCACTTGAGTTCTTACATCAATAGCGATGGCATTGTTCTGCCAAAAACAAAGCTTTTAGGCATCCCATGTTTTCTCTTTTGTATTTTGGTCATATGATACACGCAGGAGTTAGTACTTGACTGGTTAACCATTGTTTTTGACGACTGCAGCCATGCGTCTTGGCGTGCTCTCCTCCAGCTTCTGACATTGTTCTGCTGTCAGAGCAGCCCATTCCTGTTACAGAATTTCTACCAAATCTGCTCTGTTTTCGGGCTGGTGGTTCTCCATTTTGAGTTTGATGATGTTCCACAGGTTTTCAATTGGATTAAGATCTGTTGATTGAGCAGGCCAAGGCATGGTTCGAATGTTTTGGTTCTCCATCCAGGCTTTAATTGACCTTGCTGTGTGGTAAGGGGCATTGTCTTGTTGGAAAATCCAGTCATTTGTACCAGGAAAGAGTTTATCAGCTGATGGGAGAAGACTGTTTTCAAGTGTAGCCCAGTACGTGACCTGGTTCATTCACCCTTCACACAACTGCGTGTGCCCTATTCCACCCTTACAGTAACAACCCCAGATCATCAATGATCCACCCCCCATATTTTACTGTAGGGGCAAGACAGTCTGGTTTTTAGGCTTCTCCAGGCCTCCTCCTAACCAGTAAGTTAGCTGGAGTGAGCATCAACTCAAACTCTGATTCATCACTGAAGAGAACCTGGGAATACAATTAAACTTAAGCGTGTTAAATAGGACATGAAATATTATGGAATCATCTGCATTTTTAGTTACATTCATCTTATTCTGCCTTCCTGCTTCTATATTTAAAAACACACCTTGATAAGTTTATATTCAGGATAGAAGTGGTTAGTATCTGATATTCTGGATTAACCGACCCCAGGAGGGGACTCTTGTGATGTGCTCTACTGGTTATGATCCCGACTTGTTTTTAAATCAGCAGTAATAAGCCCAGTTAGCTATTTGTCTAAATTAGCTGTCCTGTACTTTACAGTAGGATGTGATGTTAGCCTCCAGCTAATGACACATTAAAGGCTGGAGTGGTAATATTCAGTTATGTTTCCACTTGTCTTTGCAACAGACGCTGTAACCAGCTTCGATGTCACTGAGATCCTTAACTCACAGATACATCCAAATTAGGAAAACTGACACTCAGCCAACATGTTTGTTCTTTTCCATTCATGCTTCATGGAGTGACGAGCTAAAGCATCGTCTCCCTCTCATTCCTTCTCTAGAAATCAGATACAAGATTTGGAGCGAAGTGTCATCATCAACTATTTTAGAAGGTTTTATTATGAAGTATAATTTTGTGTCAGGAATTGCTTTGCTTTCTTTTGTCTTGAGCAAATTACCCACCTGATTTTGACATGCAGAGTTATCCTGCTGCTCTAGTCATCCATAAAAGCAGTAGAAGAAGCTCTTCCTCGGCCTGTGTCGTATCACACCTCCAGGTTTTGCTCCACTGCTTGCCAGCTATTTTATTTACTGAATTATTTTGTTTAACTATATTACAGAGATATCTGTATTTTAATCATCTGTCTTGGTTCTGCTGTTTTCCCAAATTAAGCTCTGAGCTCATAGTACAGTACATACTTGTGCACAACTGTTGATAAATAGGCGACTGAAAGGAAACCAACGCTGTCAGGACACAGAGCAACTAAAACTCAACCAGTGGAGCTCACTGCGTTGTTATCAACCTTCCTATAGAAAAGGGTGGTACAGTCAGGAGCTTATATTCAAGTTATTTCAGCATATCCAGATTGTTAGGGTAAGAGTTATCAAGCATTTATGAAGGCATGAAAAAACAAGGCTTTTGATACTTGTGTCATCAGTGTACTAAAGGTCAAATAACTAATTTTTACTCCTGTACATTAATCTTTTGCACAGATGTATTCTTGTTAGTCTCTCATGTTATATATCAGCTGCAGCCCTCACATGATCAAATGGAGTGGTACAGAACCAATAAGAGTTAATTTGAAAATCTAATTAAATGCACAAAGAATACATTTATTGTCTTTGGGGATTTAGCTTATGCTCTATACTGTACTAAAAAATGTACCAGAAAAAGAACAAACATTTGATGATTGTAATGAGTAATGATTATAAAGCTGTCGTCCTAATCCATACATAGTTTGGTGATGCTTGAATGAAGAGACAGAGATCTTGAGCTTGGATATTTTCAAACTGTGTTTATTTAATGTGGGTATTTTAATGTCAGCTTGTATTTTAAAATGTTTTCAGTGTTAATAAATGTCTGTTTTTATAACATGCAGCACTTTAAGGGAAAAAGTGAGTGGTACCCCAAAGCTGGTGATGTCCCGGGTTCCTACCCCTCCTCCTCCAGGGGAGATGTCAAGTGGACCTGTGGCAGAGAGCTGGTGTTACACACAGGTGAGTTGATTTCATTACTAAATCACACTGTGACCAAATTAATCATGTGTTCAGAGCTTGTTAAAATCATGTCATGCTGTTGTCATGCTCTGGTGATATTTCTAAATCTCTCGTAGTTGGTGATGAGAGTTTTCTCCAGCACACTGTTCCTCCATATTGAATTTTTGCACAGTTAAATGTAAATGTTTCTTTAAAAGGCACACAAATGGTGTATTAGGACATTATGTCTGCTTACACAAACCAGGACCCCTAAATGAGGGAACCAAACAAAAATCTGCTTTCATAACTTTGAACACATTTGTTTCTCCTCCTGTGACACATTGAATGTTTTTTCTCTCTAAAAACTCTACTGTGTAAATACAATTATGGTTATTCGATTTTAATAATTACTTATACAGATGTATTAATACAGTTATTTAATGGTTAATAATATATATTATGATGGTATACCATTAACAGCATCAGTGTGATGGTTCTGTTTGTTTTTTCTTCCTATTTCAAGGTCAAAGTCGTGAAGTTTTCCTACATGTGGACCATAAACAATTTTAGCTTTTGCAGAGAGGAAATGGGAGAGGTTCTGAAAAGCTCAACCTTCTCCTCTGGCCCCAATGACAAGATGAAATGGTTTGTACCTGGCAATTTTTATCTATTTGTCTGTATTTTCATTCGAAAACTCTCAAATTAAATTATGGCAACAAGAGCAAAAAAAAACAAACAACCCAATTACTGTTCCTTGTCTTGTTTGGGACGATCCTGATGTACCCTGTTATCTGTTTACAGGTGTCTGCGGGTCAATCCTAAGGGACTTGATGATGAAAGCAAAGATTATTTGTCATTGTATCTACTTCTTGTTAGTTGTCCAAAAAGTGAAGTCAGGGCAAAATTCAAGTTTTCTTTGTTGAACGCAAAAAGAGAGGAGACAAAAGCAATGGGTGAGTACCAAATGTCTTATTCACAATAACAGTACCCCATCGTAGAAACATTTCAATTAACTGAAATCAAAGAAAAGGACAATCATTAACATTACAAACCGATTAAAAACTGTCTGCAAACCTGCAAACTACAGTAAAGAAATATTCAGACTCAGAGTTTCTTTTCTTCTTGTAACAGAAAGCCAAAGAGCATATAGATTTGTCCAAGGCAAAGACTGGGGTTTCAAAAAGTTTATAAGGCGAGATTTCCTACTGGATGAAGCCAACGGACTCTTACCTGACGACAAGCTCACCCTGTTCTGTGAGGTAAACTTCATTCTTCTACATAACATCTGAAGATTGTTGAGTTTGTTATGGAAACCATGAATGCTAAATCAGGATCTCTTTTCACTGCTGTTGGCTCATTTAAATTTGCATCTGTTGACATTTTTATCTATGAGCGCCGTGTTACTGGAATTGACAGAAAAGTAATATAACATTTAAATTCAAGACACAATGTCAGTTAAGGTGTCACATCAAAGTTGATTTTAGTTTAACTAACTGACTTGGTTGAACATGAAACAAACTCGACCATTATAACGGACTGCTCCATCGTCTCTGTCTTTCTGATGTATAGGTGAGCGTCGTCCAGGACTCTGTAAACATTTCAGGCCAGTCCAACATGAACATGCTGAAGGTACCAGAGTGTCAACTTTCTGATGACCTGGGGAACCTGTGGGAATGTTCACGCTTCACAGACTGCAGTCTCTATGTAGGAGGCCAGGAGTTCAAAGCACACAAATCCATTCTTGCAGGTAAAGGCCGTTCAGGTCCCTCAGCAACCAGGAGAAAAGCACCAAGATGTGTCTAATAAAACATGCCTTCCAGCATCTCTTCAGAGCTGCAAGTGGATTGCCTTAAGCACCAAAGGCTACGAAAGCTTTGTAATCCAGGCTTGATTTTAGCCGCCTCGTACTGCAGCGGGCATTTATCCACCCCACTACCTCTCCTTAGCCCTGCTTGACCCAGATGACTGAAGGATCCAAAAGATTGGGAGGACTGACTGTCTTCCACAGAGTGTGTCCTTAGATATGCTGGGGTTTTGAGTCAGAGCTAACATAGACACATCTGTAGCCCAGTATTGAAAGTGTCCAGGACATTCGCTCATTTGTGCATTTATTTACTGTTTCAACAGCGAGGTCACCGGTCTTTAATGCAATGTTTGAACATGAAATGGAAGAGAGTAAAAAGGTAAGAACTTTTGGGTAAATCTTGTCCTATCTCGACTCAGTCCTAGCTGATACCTGACTTTAGCTTTAAATGTTCATTGATGTGTATAAAGATGAACACTTTTGGCTCTTTTTCTCTTTAAGAACCGTGTTGACATCAGTGATGTTGACCCAGACGTCTTTAAGGAAATGATGGGCTTCATATATACAGGAAAAGCCCCAAACCTAGAAAAGATGGCAGACAATTTGCTGGCAGCTGCAGATAAAGTAAGTATTCTGAACTTTTGTTTGTCCTTTTTCCGAAACTAAAGAAGTAATTATCCCTGTTCTGATGTAGAGAAGTATTAAGGAAGAAAAATGATATGATATAATTTAAGAGAGAAAGAATTTTAACAATGAGATTGAGAAGAAATCTGTGAGTAAAGTTGACATTATGAGAGAAGAAGCAAATATGGTATGGGTGGAAAGGTCCCTTTACGCTGCATTAACAAACACACAGAAGACATGTAGAAATGCTTCGTCATTAGTGCAGTCCCAACGCTGTTAAGGTTCAAACTAGCATACAGCTTCAGCTCTGCTTGGACAGTACCTGGTCCAGTGAATCCATCAGCAGAGGGAGTAGAACTGGGCAAAGACCGTCTGTGTGGTCATTTAACATTCATTATGTTTCCTTTAGCTGCATGTCTTACTTTGGCTGTTGTTAGAATTTCAGGCTTCTTGTTGTTTATGACTTCTTGTGCTCAGGTCGGTGTTTGAGAAGAGTGCGTTTCCTGATTATCCTTTTCATTCGTACTGACCTCAGGGAACTTTACTAAGATGATCAACTCCAGCTGCTTCTTTTTCCTCCTTCCATCACACGGAGACCAGCAAAAAATACCAACGAAACGTATTTTTACACTCTCAAATCAGCAATAAACACTGCACTACATATGTTTAGTGTCAAAGAGTGATGTCAAAGAGAGAACAGAGAACATGCTGAATAAACACAATCCATTTATGTATAGATGTTTTAAAAACATGGTTCGAACCGCAGGACAGGACTGAGTCAGGTGATAATGATGAGCTCGCTAAAAGCCACAATTTAACCAGCAGACGAGAAGGCTGAGTGGAGAGAGTTGTGAATGGGTGTAATAAAAATCTAATGAGACTCTTCCAAGCAAAGGTTCTCCATGAGATTGAGCTTGTTATCGTCCCCCAGACTTACTCAGAAATACCCGTTACTTTTTCTCCTTTTTTATTTAAACTATACTCTCTGTTTTCATCTCTTGAAATTCTCTATTTATGACCATAAAATTATGTTTAACCCAGAAGCTATCAGCCCCTTAAAAGGTCCTAAAACCCTGATATTTAACCTACACAGACTTTTGTAAACGTCTCAGTGTACCCTGGTTAAAAAAAGGTCCTGGTGGCCGATCTGATATCGATGGAGTATTTTGCTGCCAAGGGTCAAAGTCATTTTAACACAATCTGAGAAACGTTATCTCCTCAGACAAGTCACTCTGAGTGGACGGGTATTTTCAGAGACCACTTAATCTATTTTTCCTGTTTTCATAAGATAACTTCGAAGTCATTTGTCTCCTAAACATGCGTGAGTTGGAGCCGTCCCTGAGATGTTTCCTCCAGTATTTTTCCATATTCCTCGATAATCAAAGTTGCCTCAATAAGATAATGTCCTCACCTGCGCAGGTACATTTGTATTCTTGAAGACACGAGTACAAAGTCTCTTCTTAGTCTGCCCTAGAATATTGTTTTTATTTTACCATTTTTCTCCTTAGTTTATCCCGATCATTGAGTTTTTATCTGATTTCAGTCGGAGGAGTTTAAAAGTGTGTTTTCTTGTTTCTTTATTTGTAAGTGAGCGAGTCATTCTGCCAATTGTCCTTCCGTCTCTCCATGTCTGTGTCTTAAAAAGGTCATTTTTTAAATGTTGTTTCATTCTTTTTCTTTTCAGCTCCCATTTTGACTCGTGCGTTCAGTGTCTCTTCACGTGTTTCTAATTTTTCAGGAAATTATCCACTTTTTCAATTTTCTTTTTGAGATTGGAGCAGTAACCTATCATTATACCTCCTAATACAGCTTTGCAGGTGTTCAAAAAGAGAGGTGGGAAACTTCTCACAGGGACATTTTCCCATTATCATATTTTCTCAAAGTCATTTTTAGTCCCCTCCCTGATTTCTTCATTCTTCTTTTCCAAACTTGGTGTTAAGTCTTTGGAAACTGTAGTGTGATCCGACAGGTTCCAGAGTTGTTAAAATCTGTTTGAATGTAAACAAAGTAGTGCAGTCTGGTGTCGACAGAGTGTGGGTCAGAACAGGATTTTATTTCTCGTGTGTGTCTGAAAGTCCAAGTTCCTTCAGCAGTAAATATCTTTGGTAGTTTTCCTCACCCGTAACAGTAGAGTTTTGATGAATTTACCTCTGATGTTATTATATCAATAATTTCCTCATCAAATTTCTGTTCACACCTTACAAGGATGTAGACTTCTGTGACGGAGAAATCAGCCTCTGCACACCTGCAGTAAGATTATCTGTTAAATACCTGATGCTTCAAGCAACAGAAACACTCAGAGAACAAAACAGTGTGAGGAGTAACAGGAAAAAAAAACAACTTTGACGCCATCTTAGAGGTCTCTTTTACCGCCATATGGTGGACTTAGAGGCAAGGAGCGCCCTCATCAGCTTTACAGCTGGTGTAAAGGTCCAGAATGAGGACCAGAGGAGTCTGGACTTTCTAAATCAAAACTTTATATGTTTTAATGTTATCTTCATGAGCCGCTCTAAGCACACTGTAAAGATAGATCTAATGCATGTATCTTTGCTTTGTTATAAGGTCTAGCAGCTCTACTGTGTTGGGGGAATTAACGGGATAATCATGTTAATTTGGAAAAATGAATTAAAATATTTGTATTCATAAAAAAATCTCAGATTCTCCGATATTAGTTTTGTTAACCTGCAAAAAACTGTTTATTTTTTTTCTCTTAAATGAACGCAGTAGTCATCTGTACATACTAGTTTAATAATAATAGTTTTATAACACAGTATTAAAGTGAACTTGACTAAAAGAGCCACACAGTAGAAATATCTCATAGTTTCGTGTTTGACTTCTATGAACATGTGAAAGTCTTTGTTGACTTCAGGTGTTAAAAATAATAATAATAATAACAGAATAATTTCTCGAGGTTTGTGTTTGATATGAACGTTTTTAAAAAAAGACCAAAAACAAAAGAAACTGTCCAGAATGAGTTCTTCATGCAGGAAAAATTGAACACCATTTTAAGTATCACTCTCACCGAGCTCATCAGTGTTGGTTCAGACGTGTATAGTGTTGTAATGGTGTCATAATTATTCGATAGTTTCAGGTCTGAATAGTGAAGACAAAGCTGGGACCAAAGCAGTCCACCATGTTGCCTCCTTGTTGTAACCAATGTTGTTGTTTGTTTTTGTTTTATTTTCCACCCCCCACACCAGTACGCTCTTGAGCGTTTAAAGGTCATGTGTGAAGAAGCCCTTTGCAACAGCCTTTCAGTGGAGAATGTGGCAGACACCCTTATCCTAGCAGACTTGCACAGTGCTGAGCAGCTCAAAGCACAAGCCATAGATTTTATCAACAGGCAAGTATCGCTAGAAAAAAAAAAAAACCTCTGGTGATAAATTCCTGCTGCCATTTCTGTTTACCGGCCCTGAATGCTTACCTTTTTATCTCTTTGCCATAGGTGCAGTGTCCTGAGACAGCTGGGCTGTAAAGATGGAAAGAACTGGAATAGCAAGTATGTAATTAGCTGATATGTGTGACACAAGATTAATAACACACTCCTATCTCTTCCCCCAACCAGATGCATTAGAATTCATTGTTTTAGCTCAGGCAGACAGAGTGCTATTTGCCTTTTCAGTTTGAAGCTCCATATCATGGTATCCCTGTTATTAATAGACTCATACCTGGCTAAACTCTGGAAATTGAATATTTGTCGAGTTTGAAAATAAGGGAGCGGTCGCTATTAAAAATTTCCCCTCAGATGATGAAGTGTGCTAACCTGAGGCACCAGGAGAGGTTACAGCCAAAGTTATTTTAGTGTGGGTCTATCAGAAACTTTTCAGACTTGAGTCACTGTAACCCATGGACAGACAGACAGACAGACAGCAGTAATGTCCCCTCTCAAATCTATTAGATAGCTGGCTAATCAAGTCCCCCGTCTTTGCTTTGTCATTACAATCTCATTTATGTTTATTGGCTTTTAATGTGCACGCTTTCATGTCCTGACTGTAAATTCATTTCGACTGTGCTTACAGTCATGCTACAGACATAATGGAGACTGCAGGCTGGAAGTCAATGATCCAATCCCATCCTCACTTGGTAGCTGAAGCCTTTCGTGCCCTGGCTTCAGCGCAGTGCCCACCCTTTGGTCTCCCCAGAAAACGTCTAAAACAGTCTTGACTGCGTGACTGTGACCCAGGATTTTACTGGAGGTATGAAGCATGGGTTTACAGAGGAAGGACCAGTGAGGGTACCATTCTTTATTTCAACCAAAACTGAACAGACTTGAATAAAGAAAAGAAGTGGAGCTTTCTGGCCAGGTATGTGGGGAGGCTGGCACGTGGACGACAGACAGACATCAGTGGATTGGGAAAAATGGCAAAATTAGTCTTGCTTGCTTGCTTTGCTGCCCTGCCCTGTCTGAATTCTGTTCAGCACGGGTAGCAAGTCAAGCTGTTTGCTCCTGTTTTTCCCTGTATATTTGAAATGGCCTTAATATATCTGCCATTGCTCTGGAGATGCTCTAGAGTACTTTGTCTATTTTACTCTGTGCCTGCCTTGTCACAAAGACCAGGCCACCTCCAGGTTGCACTAGTTCCCATGAATAGTCATTTTGATATGGAGTTCTTTAGGAACGTAACAAAGGGTTTAACTCAATGGGAAATATTATATATTTGTAATGTTTAGCCCGTTTTGTGACTAGACATTAAAAAGCATGAACACTTTCAGTGCAAGGTCAGTTCTTTACACTTTTTAAAAGATGCGTATGCCCCATATTGATGGCACCATTTCTATGTAAATGACAGTTGAACTATCTTTAGAAGACCAGTGTACAAGAATCTGTTCGATTGCATATTTGTGGGGAAATTGTATTCTGCCATCATAAAGACCCAGTGTCAATTCGTGAAAAAAAAGTCAGACCCAAAAGTCTCCGTACTTTTGCCCTCATTTATTAGAACATTGGAAAGTTATGGAAGTATTTAGTCTCCCATTTGAATTAAAAAAATACTCCAGGTCATATGTCTGTGAACTGTTATAGATGCAATTTTGAGAACTCCTGTCCTTTATTGCCAAGTTTCAAATATATATATCTATATATATATTCTCAGTATATTGTGGTTAACAAAAAGTGGAGAAGAGACTAATGCATGGCCATGTTATTGTCACAGAAAGTGTCCAAGTACCAATTTTGTGTTAAACAATTTATTTTCTGCAATTATCTGACATGTTTGTGCAGAATGAACCGAATTGAGTATGTGCAAAAATTCCTTTCACATGCTTGGATATTTGTAGGATGCTGAGCATCTTTTCCACTGGCAATGTTATCTGTATTTGACTGGGGGGTTGTCATGTTAATTAGTCTGTCTCGTATGTAGTGTGGTGTGACCAACACTTCAGATGGTTTTGTAAATTTTAAGAGTAGTAATCATTTTTACATGACATTACTTATCATTCAGCGTGTTTGTTTGGAAGCAAAAAAATGAAGTTATTGTCTGCAAGAATGCCTGCATTAACCCATTAAACAATTTTCCAGCAGTCTGAAGTAGCCAAGGTTTATTGAACTGATTAGTGCCCACACCGAGTCCTCTGAAAGGTCATGTTGATGTGGACGGATGCCAGCTTCAGCTCTTTCAGCCTTTCTCCACAGCTGTGTAAGACGGCAGACAGAACATGTCTTTTTATGTTTGTTTTAACTGCATTTGCAAAGAAACATGTTTGATGTTTAAGCTCTTTCAGCGTGTGAATTTATGAATGAAAGTGAACAGAAGAGCGCTCGTTCCTGCTGCCCACTCATGTCTTCATCCGAGTTCTGCTGATACCTGTGTGACAAAGATCCCAGGAAAATACCAGACACCATCTACGCTCCAAGCTGCCTCTCAAACTCCTCATCTCTTTCTTGTCCTTTACTCTACTTACCGTAGTTTTTGTAACATAAGATCCTTACAGTCACTATGAGACAGTTTGAAGGAAATCAGAGTATCCTTTCGATCAGAAACTCACTCACTCACTCACTCACTCACTCACTCACTCACTCACTCACTCGCTCATTAGATTTGATACAATCCTGTTTAAACCTCAGCAGCTAAAATAAAAAAACTGGAGGTTGTGTATATTTGTTATTTACAGAGGGTTCATATATAATATATCAGTGCGTCTCAATGAATTAGAATATTATGAAATTCAATATATCTACATTTATGAATATTAAGTGTTACAGTTTAAACCTTCACCAGGTGGGTATCAGCCCAGGAGGTCATTCCTTATCATGGATGTTGAGTCTGAGGGAGAAGTGTAGTTAGTGAAGGTTCATGAGCTACAGGGATGACGGCAGCCTGAAGAGGTTAGTCCTGGTCTGGGAGCAGAGAGAGGGTTTGAGGTCAGGGGTGAAGTTTTCACATTCTGATGATTCCAGGCCCCATGTTACACCGTTCAGGTCCACAGTCACCACAGCCATTTACCAGGAGATTCAGAGCCCTGCAGGTCTCTATCCACTGATGAGCTTTATGACTGCTGATACACACAGTGCAGGAACTCTTACCAGAGGGTTTGCCTGCTGTGATACCACTGTGTTTAGTTGGTCAGCCAACCTAAACCCAACAGAGACTCTGTGGAGTATTTGTCCAGAGGAAGATGAGAAATAATTAACCCAGGAAAACATGACGGCCTGCAGACCCCTGTCACAGCAGCACCTCAGCAGTCTCACAGACGGTCACTGTATCCGTGGATTTCATAAAGTCAAAATCATAAAAATAAAAGAAAATTAAAAACAGGATCAATGTTTAATTTGACATGTCAGCAATATAAGGGAATATAAAAAAGTAGCTTATTGGAGTTAAATGATAAAAATTACGTTTTTCAAATATTCTAATTAATTGTGATTTCAGAGTAAAATGCTGAACCACTGATCTGTCTGGATTTTTCTTACATCAGTGTAAACAGTCATTAACTTGCAAACTAATTTTTAAAAATAATTTGATTGTTTTTTAAAAAGATCAATCATCACGTGTCCATCGGTGTCCACATGTTAACATTTCGCTCAGTTTTCCATGGATGTGTGCAGCAAACCTTGGTTGGTTTGACGTTTGGGTGCTTGGAGTGGGTGCTTCACCCTGATCAGATAAGAGTAATGGAAGTGAACAAAACCCCCCTGTCACTGATGGCCACAGTAAATGGATGTGCTCCCTAAGCTGTACCGCTGCTATCATCCATGCCTGTTGACACAGATTTATTGCCCGTTTTAAAAAAGTATCCTTAAGTGTTCCTCCTGAAGAGGCACATTTGTCCAATCATGAAGTTGTCGTAGGAATCAAGTAGGACATCAGATTATTGGTTTGAGCTCTGAAAGATCAGATCTAATTCTGTCACCATACACCAGCTGCTGAGTTTAAATCAGGTTTAATGCCATAAAAACCCAAAATGATCTTTACAATTTCTTCTTAACAAAAGGAACCCCCAATCAAATCAGGCAAGTCAGGATGCTTAACCATACATACAACTTAGCTTTTTCTACTTACAGGGAAAACACAGATTGAGATTCATCACGCAAGAAATCAGAACATATGTCAAATCTGCAGGGGTTACAAATAAATCAATATCACCACCAATATGACATCTATGTACATGATATCTCTCAACAAACACCAAAAGTAACGTACAGTGCACTTCTTGATATATTTCTGCGGAAAACTCTGAATCTGGAAAAACATTGAGTATTAGAGTTACACATAAATACACAGCATTTGCACAAATGAGTCAAACTAAAACCTAAGTTACCTCAGAGTTCTTGATTTTCATTTACATTTCTTATTTGCATAATGTGACGATCATATACAGTTGATCAGGAAAGACGGGGTACAGCAAATAAGGTGACAATGACACATGACGGATTTATCAGAGTCCAACAAAAAAGAAAAATGAAACGGCCTTATGTGGGTTTTTTATTTTTTTTTTTTGGTGGGGAAAATCTTGTAAGTCAGTTCAGACCAAAGTTAACTTCACTCTCTACACTCGATGTTCTCTATTCACTTCCACACAAAGGCCGTGAATTGAAGCCTGCTGTAAAGTCTGCCGATGTTTAATCTACATTTAATGTCCAACTTTGATTTCGATCTTTTCCGTCTTTGGTTCCTTCGCTATTGCTCTTTGCTAAATGAATTTTCCCAAGCTAATTAAAGCCTATTTGAGACAAGTAATGTCAGTGCAGGTGGCAGGACCATGACAAAGTGCTGATAATTGTCTGCCAGACTCACTAAATCCACCTGTCGTACAATTATCGCTTCCCCCCACCTCTCCTGACACATTAATCCACTCTGGTGCTGCTCAGCAGGCTGATGCCTAAAAGTGCATCCTGCAAACGCAGGTTGGGACTTCATCCTGATATAGCTCACACGTCTCACAGAAACAGGGAACAACAACGAGAAGAAAAAAAAAAACCACGAAGAAGAAGAAGAAAAAGGCTGCGACCAGGTTCACATGAGTAAACTGTATGTAATGATAGATGATCGCGCTCTGCTCGTCTTTGATTAGAGGTGTGGCATCAGTTGAATTTGTCATGTTTGTGTCGTTTACAGCCTGTTTAAGACAGAAACAGACGGTCAGATCTAAAGTTGGTCTGAAATAAAGTTCACTGTTTGTGACTGTTCGAGCCAAAGTGAGCTCTACTTCAGAGTCAATAAACACGTTTTTTGATCCATCAGTATAAATGCAGGATTGTGTCAAAGTCTCACTGGTCATTTGACATCCCAGTGAATTACCCGCCTGTCTGTCAGTTTAGTAGTTATGTGGACGTTTTATGAAGTCTTGTCACTTTTTATTCTCCGTCTGACTGTTGAAATAAGGAGGAGAAATAGTTTCACAATTTTTGCTTCAGTTTATATTCTGACAGAAGCAGGAACGCTCCTCCAACTGGGAGACATTTTGCCGATGGTCTAGCCTTGAAGAAAACATCTGGACATCCTTCTAATTAAGCCCGAGTATGAAGACGAAACATGTGCGTCTGTGATGTGGAGGAGGCATCTGGGGTTACTAACCATCTCTGTATGGAGGGCGACCCCTATGACCACGTCCCCGGACACCTAACTATCACAGGTATTGATTGATTGATGAATCTGCTTACAGCCTGTTTCAGAGTTTTATACCACTGCCCTCAAATCCCTCCAGAGTGTGTTTTAGGTGTTTAGGTGTTTGGGGACAACAAGATTACATGATTCAAACAAAAAGGTCAACGCTCACAAACAACAGCTGACTTATCCTGTGGAGGAGTAAGGTGTGTCACTGTGGTAGTTGTAGTCAGGGCACACCTTCTGCACCAGTTTATAGTCTACGCTGTAGAAGGCTATATAGATGCATATGACTTTGAAGGGTTTGGAGCAGAGCCAGGACACGTGGCTCTGCGTCTGTTCCTGATAGCAGACCTTCGATGAGTCAAAGTTGCACAGCGCAGTCTTCTTGTTGCGGTCCGTCTTCTCGTACTCGATGCGGCAGTTGAATGATTTGGTGTCTTTCGTCTCTATCGTGCTCTGCTGAGCTATCTCAAACTCGACCACCTTGGACGGCGGTACCAGGCTGACCGAGACGTTCCCCAGGCCAGTGGAGTTATGGCGGAAGTAAACGCTAAAAGTGCCATTTCCGTGGTCCACGATCTTCCCTGTGATCAGCAGGTTGAGTTTGATGGTCTTGATGTTGGAGTGAAAATCCCCCCATCCGAACATCTTCTTAAACTTGCCAGTCTTAACAATGGGCCTGCGTTTAGTTCTCGCCAGTGCCTGTGCGCCCTGAACATCTGTCTGGTTAGATAACCAGTCCCAGAAGTCCTCCATATTCTGTAAATATGTAATTTCCCTCATGTTGCTTTTGAACCCGGGGGAGCCCCTGGCAAACAATCGCAGGGGATTGAGGATTCGTGGACTTGCCCCCGTGGGAGAAATCCTCTTTGCATTATCGCTGTCTCCCCACTCAATTAGCTCTGTGGCTCCTCCATGTGCTTTTCTGCATGTGACCTTTGAAGAGAGCAGAGCAAAGATGGAAACAGTCAGGAAACCAAAGCTCACTGGAATATCGTGGTAAATAAACTTTCATTATAATCAGGTATTGATTTTATGTAAAGTATCAGACAATAATTGACGAGTGCATAAATAATCATTCATGCTGTTTCATTTATTCCAATCTGATCAGGAGAAAAATCTCTTTTACAGGAGAGTCCTGACCGAGCACGCTCCAGCAGAGTCACAGACATACAACACTGAGTGTTTTTGTTCCACAGACCAGACAGACGAGGAAATAAAATCAACACGGAGCGATTCTGAGGTAGTCATTCTGATGTAACTATACCACAGCAAGAGTAGAAACAGCACTTTGGAGGGAGTGCTTTAAAAAGTGCTTAAAAATTACAAAAAGATAAATAAGAGAGAGCCACTTAAGTAATTTACAAAGAGATTTTATTGTTACAATAACTGAACGAATGATAAATGCCCTTTTTCCTGTAAACGTGTTATTTGTACCAGAACAACAGCGTTCACATTAATCCTGTTTATCCAAACAAAACATGATTTTGATGTTGTATGAAGAATATTACAGTAGATGAATCGTGGTTCCCTGTCGGAGGAAAAAATATGTTTTGGTGTTGAAGAGTTTGACATTTTGTGATGCCCGCTCATTTACCGTCTGGTTTGATAAAGTGATATCGTCTGTGCTGGTAAACATAAATCTTTAATCAGTATTTGGCATCAAACCTTTCAACCAGAACCACCAAAGCTGACGGAGCCTGTCTGACTGCCGACCACCAACAACAGAGGCTTTATGAAAACAAGAAAACAGAGACAGACCGATAAATCTGTCGGCCCATTAACGTCAGTTTGACTCATCCTGTGTCACAAACCCGATTATCTTTGGAATAAAAATGTTTCTGACAGCCCATCAAATCTAAGACTAACTGGTGGTTAATATTCATTCTGATGACTTTGGTGTTTAGAATAATGCAGTTTAATGAAAGTAATATTACTATATTCTGTGTACTTCTTTCATTTCTGACTAATACAAGATCACAGGGCAGAAATCCAAACCATCCTTCAGATAAGATTTTACTGAGCAACATATTTTCCTGTCTTTTCTTACATGAACAAACCGATTATTCAAAGTTTAGCAAAACTGTATTTTGTAAAAGCAACAAGATATTCACTGTGTTATAAATCAGGCAAGCTGCTCTCTGAAGTTCTGGTATTGGCCGTTGAAAAACAATCATCGGTTGACCATGACAAGAAAACAACACAGCGCCTAATCTGTAGTTTTTGATGAAGCCTTCGGTTGAGCTGGACGAGGATGTCAGCAGGTCTGTGCAGAACTGAACTGTCCGATAATCAGAAACTGAAAGAGACGCCCGAGAAAGGTGGTTTAGAGATTTTGACTTTGACATCAGTGAAAATCATGAATCATGTCAGACTCTTGATGCTCCAAAAAAGAAACAGACTGATCAGTTTACCCGACATTAGAATAAAGCTGTACTGTAGGATCATAAAAACTCTGTACATCAGCGCTTGTAGTCTTGAAGATGTCGTGCACACAGACTCAAGCTGGTAATAATTCACACAAGGCCTCTAAAGTGAAGTGTGAGCGAAGTGCAGATGCACCAGTGAACTGTAATCTCCTCCTCCTGTACCTCACAGCCTTTTAGCTTCCGGAGTGATTCCTGGTCCAGTCCAGATAAAGTTTGAGTGATTCAGGGCAGTAAGCTAAAGCTAGTTTTATTAGTAATTAGTAGTGCCAGCTTTCCTCAGGCCTAGTTACTGGGATCACACAGAGAGGCAGATGTTGAAAGCGCTGAGCAGTGGCTGTTATAATTCTCACTGAACTGCTGCTCACAATATCCAGATTAATTATTATTTCGCCTTAAGCCCAACGAGGCACAACAAACTAGGTCTGCTGCTGCGGTTTGTTTTGTCATCGTATCATCCCGGTGAACGTTTTATTTCAGAGATGAAGACGACGGCATGGAGGACTGGGCGATTATATGATCGTGATAAATCTCAGTTCGATCACGGTGATCAGCTGAGAGCGTATTTACTCGATCAAACAAAGCGGAAATGTGCGTCACAACAGCCAATCAGAGTCGAGCTTTTCCTTCTCACTTCTGTAGGTTGTCAGTAAACAGAACAACCGAACGTGGAGCTAAACGCGGAGCTGAGGGCGGCAAAACAGATGTCAGCCGTGACTTTGAGTTATTCTCCCAAGATCTTATTGTTTAGAAGTTATTTACGTCGGTTGTGTCGCGGTCGTTCAGGTACCTCCAAAGTGACGTCAAGCATTTAAGCCGATGTGTAAGGTATGTTAATAAAATGTTGAACTAACTAAACTAGTTTCTTTAGTTTTTAGTTCAGATGATTTAAAACAGGCAGTTGAAAAATCGTGATAATAATCGAGATCGGACGATATGACAAAATATATCGGATCATGTTTTTTGCCAAATCGCCCAGGCCTACCTGCACGCATCTTGACCTACACAGGTGTTATATTTTGGACGTAGTGTCGTAGCTGTTAAGATATTTAATGTAAAAGAATGTGTTTCTTTTTTTACGGACAGACACTCCTCCATCAGCCGTTACAAAGTTGAATTAAAGTGAATAAATGTGTCAAAAGAGGCCAAAGTCTTCAGATGTCTCGTGTGCAGCAGCTTGTCACATCTCCTCTCATTCTCGTAGCAGTATTCCCTCACTGACAGCGACACTTAGAAATACCTCTTTGAGCTCAGTTGTTAATTTGATTTGACTCTTACAACATCACTATAACTGGGAATAGCGAACATAAAATCTGTGGGTCTGCCGGCTCCCAACAGGACCATTTAATCTCTGCTGTGAAGAAAGAAAACGTGGCGCTCCTCTTCGCTCCATCCCGAGCCGTTATATCCATTACACTGAGGTTGTCATGCTGCACAGCTTCAGAGGTGAAACCAAATTCTGTATTTCAGTGTAAGTCTCAGGTGAGCTTTGTATAGGATGATTATAATGGAAATGAGAGAGGAGTTTAAGTATGATGAGCAACTGGGAAATTGCTGTGACAACAAGGGGATCAGTAGAGGGGTATCTAATACTTAAATGCCCCGAGAGAGATGAAGTGTTGGGAACTTGAAAGCTTACACTGACACAGGCTTTGGTTTATTCCTCTCTCTGTCTCCCTTCACATACTAAGCAATAACACACACATGCACTCACACACACACACACACACACTCCTGCTTTCTACAGGCAGAAGTGGTGTCTCTTTAAAACAGACTAAGAAGCCAAGTTTTTGAACGAGAGGCTGGAAAAAGAGACAAGGTCTAATGAAGGAGAATCTACAAAAGCTTAATTAAGATTTCTTAATCTGTGCTTCTGTGCTGGAGGCATTATGGGGCAACTTGAAACAAGAAATCATTATGATAATAACTGCAGCATTACAGAGAAGGAAAACACCAGACCTCATTTCAGCAGCAGAGGAAGAGAGCAGGGAAGGCTCGGCTGGATGTTTCACACCGTTACTTATAGGATGGGAATTTGAAAATAAACACCCTTTAAACTGGAAAATTTACATTTCATTTAGTTTTAAAAAATTAAAGTTATTGTTTTTGTCAGGCTGACTTTTTCAGTGGTTTACAAGCTGCTGTGAAGAAAAATGTTCCTGTTTGTGTTTTTTTAAGTGTTTGGATCTTAAAGCTACTGCCAGGAACCTTTACTTTGGGTTGATTTTGGCGCCCCCTGTGGATTAACGGTCTTTGCTTGTCTAATCCTTTAGTATATTTTGACATGAAAATGATCCTTCTGGCTTTTTACAGTCAAAGTTGTGGAACGAGTTACTCCTTCAAATCAGACGAGCCCCTACACTGTCCATTTTTAAAACTCGTCTTAAAACCCATTTTTATTTATCGGCTTTAAACCCTTCATGAGAATCAGCTCCTGTTTTAGAGTTTTATTGTTTGTTTTTAGTTTTTAGTTTCGATGTTTTTAAATTAGTTTTTAAAAATATTGAAACTATATTTTACTTTTTAATACCTTCTTTTATTTTATCCGTTGTTTTAATTGTTTCTTGATTGTTTTTTTATGTCTAGTTGTTTTGTCTATTTATGTTCAGTACTTTGTTCAGCTATGGTTGTTTTAAAGTGCTTTACAAATAAAGTTGAGTTGAGTTTTGTTAGGAATATAATGTGATGAAATTGTAAAAAACTGTTTCTGACACCTGCCCCTTCCAAGTAGTTTTAGGCATTTATAAAAATATAACAATAATAATAATAATAATAAAAATAATAATAATATACAAAGAGTCGGTTAATCTGACACCTCTGTTTATGACAGGGGAGAAAAGATGGAAACAGGAACAGACGGGCACTTTGAGAATTATTCATTTTCATGTGAGAAATAATCTCTACATCAGGCCGCTTTATAAAAACGCACAGTTCAACAGAATGGCAGCAAAGCTGGTTTTAATAGTTCGACTCTCTAAAGCTGTGAATATTTTTAAAGAATAACACCTTCATGGGTTATTATGTAATCATGAAATAAAGGCGATCATTTAAAGTGATCGGTTGTTTCTTGCAGAGGAAACCCCTTCAAGTGAGACCTAACTTTCCCCCCTTGAGACCTGATCACGTGGTCGGGGTCTCGGACCAGATATTATTCCTTTCATGCCACCTGTTCTGTAAACGTGCGTTTCTGTGTTTGGGAATACTATCCCGAGTATGGAGTCTAAACATTTATCAGTCATCAGCATAATGGAGCTGGCTGCCTGCGTGTCCCATGAGTAGATGTATCTTTTAGAGGTCTGACATAAAGGTAATTGCCACAGTGGCTCTAACTAGCCTCTAGAAAGTTATTAAGAAGCTGGAGACATCTGGCTTCTGGATCATCTACAGAGATGCCTCTAAACTGCATTAGCAGTTGGCAGCTGGTGACATTGTGCTCACCTACGATGGATTCTGAGCAGAAGACAAGGCCGCAGTGTTGGTTTGATGAGGATGAAGGAATCTCTGTCACACTTTGGCTCGTCCTCATCTCTAAGTTTGAGCTAAACTGATGTGTTTATGAAATCTCTGTTGTTGGGAATGTGGGTCTGTGGAAACTGGTTTCAGGCGTCTCCCTCCCAACAAACAAAGTAGACAATTAAAGCGCTCATCGGTGCGAGCAGAGCAGTTCCAGTGATGCACTCTACTGTTCTTCATGGATTTATCTGTGCAAATTGACCCCAGTTTGGTGGTTCAATTCATTTCTCTGCTAATTTTCTGTGACTGAAGCTTCATTAACTTGATGCGCTTCTGCGTACTAAAAATCTGGACACCTCACGGAATTTACACAGGCCTGACCACTGTCTACTTCCCAGCATTACTGCAACACCTGCTCAGCTGGTACGGTTGGCATAAAACCATCAGTTATTGCAAGGCCGGATTGACTGCAGCTTCTCGCTTTAAAGTATTCGACATGACAAGGGGCCGCGCTCACATGAAAACTGCTCTTACCCTGCAATCCTTCGCCCTGCCCGCATCCTTCCTCCCGACGTTACAGAGCATATCATTTGTAATGATTCACAACCTGAACTGGTTCCAGGAGAGAATGCCCTCGAGGTGTTAAAGCAGCCCAGAGCAGGAGTCTACATTCTGCTGGAAAATAGATTGGTGCTCTGATCACTGGAACAGCCTCACGTTCCAGAGCCATCACTTTTAATCAGGGCCTGTCCAGGGAAACACATGGCAGGTGCTTCACATTGTGCTGGATCGCAACAGAAAATCCACACCAGGGGCCCCTTACCAATCACAGACAGTTATGGCCTGTGTGTGTGTGTGTGTGTGTGTGTCTGTGTGTGTGTGTGTAGCATATCTCCTCTACTCCAGTTTAATCCTCGCGGCCACTGGGCAAATGAGACAAAGGCCACGAATATTGTAACTTTCAACATTTTCAATCCAGTTTGGAGTCTTTTTGTCGTCCATCATCAACGTTCACTTAATAACCCGGTGCAGTAATATTAAGAAATCATATGCATTACACACCGAGTGCCTAACAGGGTAAATAGAGATACACAAATGATCTTATAAATGTGAATGCACATCGTGTTCTGATCGTTTGCATTAACACGGTCTGGTATTAGTCTCTGAAGGTTTACACTCGGCCCGTCTCAGACAGTCAGAACATTTTGTCCCAGAGTTGATGGTGAGAGGACAGGGACTGACGGGCTCAAAGGAAAGTGATGCTGATGTTTTCATGACTCTAATCACAGTAATCCACTTTCTCTACATCTCCACAGGCGATCACTTACTGAAGAGCAGCTGTTGACAGATGTACTGGAATAAATTTAAGACAATCTGAATCACATCATGGTGTATAATTTATATTGAGTGGGTTATCACAATCAAAAGAGCAGGCATCTATCTAAAGGGAAACACTTCAGTCAGGCTGCTCTCCTTTAATGCCTTTAAATTCAATCAAAGATTCAATTCAAATCCAAGTTAACGCTTATATTAATAATTTCTTGTTGGATAATTTTCTCTGTTTTTAGAGCTCTACCAGACATTTTTGAATATGTTTTTCTTCACATGAGTTTTACGTGTCAGACCCTGAGATTTCCTCTGTACTGTGGGCTCTGTGGGCTGAAAACGTTCCTCCTTGATAACACCAGATCTGGTTCAGGTCTGGTACTGACATACGGAGCACCTTTGCCTCCTTCTCCATCATGTCCCATCAGAGTCACTAACACAGTCTTTTCTGAGAGTCTCTGAGCTCCATCATCCTGTAGGTTCTTCTGGATCACTGCTGCAGACGACCTGCTGCTGAGGACCTGTCTGCTTCAAATACAGGAATTCATATCAACTCTGTCTATGTCATGTTTCTCCCTCTATCACTCTCTCCTCTCTTCATCCTCCTCTCTCTCCTCTCTAAACCCGGCTCACTCTCAGCAGATGACTGTCTAACATCAGTCTGGTTCTGTTCGAGGTTTCTGCCTGTTAGAGGAAGTTCTTCCTCTCCTCTGTAACTTGATAAATGCTCTGAAGTGTTTCACTTGTGGTTGAGGATGAGGTGGGATTAGGTCTTGATCTTACAGGATGGGGCTCAGTCTGACTCCATCCTTACATCGGGTCAGGGCTGCAAGATTTTGGCCAAAAATAAAATCCAGTTTTTTTTTCTATGAAAACCTGAATTTTATTTTATTTTTTTTCAGTGACAAATTCATCAAACTTCACTTTAAAAATAAAACGTTTTTCTCAAAAAGATGTAGCGCATATGCCAAGCCAGTAAGTGGCGCTGTAACTCTGCACAGTCAATACTGCCTAGTTTTTCTTTTTTCTGTGCAGCTCCATTTTCAAAAGCTATTTGTGGTTCTTATTTTCTATGATTGACACTTGATACAGCCTATGGGCGTGCGAAGATTGCGAAGCGATACGCTGTTTGAGCCGAGCGTTATCACAGCGGCTCACCCGCCGAATGCGTACAACGCTACTGCGCAAGTGGTGGTTCCTGGAAATATCAGAACAATTCAGCTTCAGATTTGTACGATGATGGAAGGTTACCGACCTGGAAGCTAGACAGTATTGACTTAGTAGTTATCATGTTAAAATGTAAGACTGAACCATTTTTGAAATATTAAGATAAATAAAAAAAACTATCTCACACTAAAATTAAGTTCTAATTTCTGAAATACGATCTGTTTCCCCCACCGCAGTAGTGTTAGAGTCCAAAGAGTGAGTACGGGGTTAAAGTTGGAGGTCCAAAACCTGGACTGGAGGAACTTCTGAATGCGGTAATGTCGAGTGTTGAGAGTAAGCAAAGATCCTACGAGGAGGGAAGAAGGAGAAGAGCGGGAGCCTCCAGGAAATCGGCGTACTTGTGTTATCTCAGCACCTGCCACAAGTGACAGCAGCAAAGCCCTGAACACTTCACTTTTAGGCAGGCGTTACCTTTCAACGCATCATCAGTTTCATAATCCCCTTACATGGTCAAAGCGCCAACTCCTGTGCCTGCTCCTGACACCTGCAGCACACCTCTCTGTGTCTGATAGCAGGGATTCAGCTGGATAATGCCATAAAGCCCATTGGACTTACTGTTATTATCGTTTTCTTGACCACTTCCTGACACTCTTTACTTTGTCGTGTGTGTAAAGCTTGTAAAACTACTTGACAAATAACATTATTCTTCTCAAATGAAACATGAGCCGTGTGGTTTTAGTTTTTCCACCTGCTTCTCAGGATGCACGTATTTCTCTTCAGATCCATGCTGCGAATGGCAGGTTATTCCGAAGGTTTCTGCTTGATTTACTCACGAGGATGTCCACCAAATTTGACAGAACTGTTTTTATTTTCAAAGCTGATTGGGCCTCAACTGATTTCTTAAAAGCAGCTCTCTTTGAAGAAAAAACAAGTGCAGGAAAGACAGAGCTGTTTTTTTTCTTCTCTTCTTCTTCTTCTCAGAGCACCTCTGAAGACAGGTACTTCACAAGACACATACAAAGAAAGAGGGGAGCTGACAGCGCTTTGTTAGGGCTGTAAATGACAAGCTGAAAAGAAAGGCCTCAAAGCCTCCAGGCAAAGAAGAAATGCAAAACTGAGAATAATCAGAAAGGAGATTTATTGTTCTTGTTGTAAAGCTGTCACACATTTCCTTTTACAAGAAAGCGACGCTGCTTTAATTAAAGAGGTCAATCATTTTCCTAAGCCTTGACATGAAGTGTGATTTCTTCTCTAGAGTTCTCAGCCAGGTGGTAATTAAGGACCTCGTATGTCAGCATTTTGGAAATTCACATTCAAAGGAAAAAAACTACAGAGCCGAACAAAATCAGGGTTCAATATTATGACAGCTCCGTCTGTAAGTTCTGAGCAGCAACAAGACCGAGATTAAAGAGGAAATCTGCAGCAGCCCAGTTATCTGTTTTATGTGGAGGCAGCACAGCAGTAATGCAGACTGTATAAGAACTACTAAACAGGGGAGGGTGGGGGTCTTTGTGGTAATGAAAAAGCTATACGGTAGCAGAGCCCCAGGTCTTACACCAACTGGAGCTGCACATCAGCCGTTAAAATTTACAGCTGTGGACCCAGCTCTGGAAACTCCCCGTCTTATTAAACAGAATGTTTTCTTTAAGCAAAGCTGCCACACTGGCTGCTCCCGTGAACTTCATCCAAACATCATTTTCGGCTGTTAAAACTGATGATTGGGAAAGGAGTCGGCTGCATCAGAACCACACAAAGTGCTCCGAGTCACATTTGAGCAATAATGGACAGAAATGACAACCTTTCCTTAAGAGGCCGCGGACAACAGAGAGGCTGAGGACTGCAAATGCCACAGACTGTATTGTTTATGAGGGATTATCTAGTCAAGCCCTCTGGCTGGAGAGATTGTGGCCACCGTGTCAGCTGATACAAATCAGTACTTGGTTCATACAAGGCCATCAAACAGAACTTTCCACAGCCCTCCTGACAGCTTCTCACGTATTTTTCTCATTTGGCAGGAAATTTCTCTGGTAGGTTTTTGAGGACTGGAGTTCAGCTTCTCTCTCTCTCTCTCTCTCTCTCTCTCTCTCTCTTTCTAACAAGGCAAATCCTGGAAGTGAAATGGTTGATGTGAAGACCAGGCTGAGCAGGGATGCGAAGAATATAAACACAATTTTTATATTGTCCAGTGGGAAAAGGGGGGGGTACAAGGGGTTGGGCGGGAGGGTCTGTAAAAGAGACGGGGACCTTATCACAGCCCAGCAGCTCTGTAATTCGCCGCCATGATAAAGTGGCAGCGCAGAAAAACCTTACAAGGCTGGCACAATCCAAAGACGGATTAGGTTTTTCTGACATAAGCTTCCTGAAAAACTAATCAATCAGCCCATGCAGTATTATCAGAAGCGTGAGATTAAAGAGCCGCTCCTAATCCTTCCACTGTACATTTTATTACACTTCCCAGTGTTAGTTGCCTTTAAATATACAATAAATAAATAATGAAACCAAACCTAATTGAGCATGGGGAAGGGAAATAGGTTAAAGAGCCCTTAGAGGGGGAATTTATGTGGAATTTGTGTTTTGTTGTGAAGAAAGGGATAAAACTGTTGTCCTTGGCAGGGCCCCTTTTGACTTTGAATCGAGCTTCAGCGTCTGGATCGAGAGCTGCTCGGAAAAAAACAACAAGACTGAGAACCTTCCATAATTCTTTAAAATCAAACAGCCGCAAGGCGAAGTCTGACTCTCTCATTTTAGTCATCATCCCCTTCAGTTGATGGGCGAACGGATAAATCATCAAGGCACGAATGTAAATAAATTAATAAATAATTGTTGAAATTAATGCTAAGTCCTTGAAAAGATGACTTGTAATTCCCTGAATCAGTGCACATCAGAGCTGCAGGAATGAACTTCAAACATGAAACAGAACCAGAGGACGAGCTCACAGCTAATCAGCTAAGCTTTGTCTTTTCGATGCATCACACCCGTCTTCTATCAACACGCCGGCTCCAGCCCTGCTCGGCCCGACCCACCCAGGATGGCGTTTAGAGAAGTAGGTTGGCATTTTAACACCACACATGACCCTCTTAGATAACTCCATGCAGATACCTCAACATTATCAATCCGCTCTGATGTCAGAAAAAAAGAAAGAAAAAACCAAATGATGTCAAAACAAATGAGACTTTTACATTTTCTGACACTTGATCCTGAACAGTGTCATAAAAAAAATTATGCAGGTTTGTGGAAGAGAGGCAGGTGGAGCAAAGGGGGAGCATCGCCTTTAAGTATGTTTTATCTTCATCTGCTCTGTTCTGCTGTCAGTGCACGGAGTATGACTGCAGCAGATGTCATGGGTAAGAAAAGGATTTTCCCAGGATGGCTCTGACCCTCTCATTTTCCCCTGGGGACTGGCACAGATGCCAGGTTAGTCTGCATGATTCATGTTCTGTGGGTATGTTTGAAAACCTAAAGAGAATAAAAGAGGTTTTCTTTTGTTTGGGTTTGTTGAGTTGGAGAATTTTACCCCAAAGTAAGACTTCATATATACTGAACCTCTAAAAGCATGTCTGTCCATAGAAGAGGCTGTTTCTGATGGTTGAATTTGTGCTTCTGTCTAATAAAACTCATCAGGTCACATTCATACATCTCCATCCAACAGAACAGGAGCAGAAAATTTAGAGACTTTTAGCAGCTCAAGAAGTTATTTTGCATAATTCATGCTGTCAGTCAGCGGTGGCCGGTATTGCAGTATTTTCTACTCTTGGGAAGGTGAGGGAACTATTGAAGGGCTAATATGTTCCCAGTCTGGCCTGGTCTGCTGGGAGGGAAGCCACAAAGGTATAGGAAGAGAGGCAGCCCCTCTCGTCTCGTCTCCCTGGAGGCAGAGCTCCCAAAAGGCTGAAAGGCTGATTACAACAGCAGCAGCCGGAGCGGACAGCTCTGTGCTGCTGCTGCTGCTGCTGCTGCATCTGCTCTGAGCCGTCTTTAAAGAAGCCCTCTTTGAGGACAGCGCAGATGGAAAACGTTTCTTTAGTCAAATGGCATTTGCTCCTCAGGTCTGATCATGTAAAGACCGAATACAGCGAGAAAGATTGTGACAAAACACAACAGGAGGAAAAATCCTAAAGATGAAGCTCGTCTGAGCGTTTATTCCTGTAATATAAAAGAATTACTTTACAATGAGATTATGTCCAGAGGCTTAAGACAATCAGTCTCTAAATACTTGATATTTTCCTGCATATTCACTGTGGAGTATATTTACTGTGGAGTATATTCACTGTGGAGTATATTCACTGTGGAGTATATTTACTGTGGAGTATATTTACTGTGGAGTATATTTACTGTGAAGTATTTTTACTGTGGAGTATATTTACTGTGGAGTATATATACTGTGGAGTATATTTACTGTGGAGTATATTTACTGTGGAGTATATATACTGTGGAGTATATTCACTGTGGAGTATATTTACAGTGAAGTATATTTACTGTGAAGTATATTTACTGTGAAGTATATTTACTGTGGAGTATATTTACAGTGAAGTATATTTACTGTGGAGTATATTTACTGTGAAGTATATTTACTGTGAAGTATATATACTGTGGAGTATATTCACTGTGGAGTATATTTACTGTGGAATATGTGACAGTTGATAAATAATCAGCAAACCGTCAGAAAGCATGTGATTTTTTTTTTCTATTATTATTTTTACTTTTTTTTCTTTTTCTCAGTTTATTATTTTAATTCTGTCCTCGTGTTCAGAACAGCGAGGACATTTGACAGAGATTTAACTTTGTCGGTCTTAGAAGTGAAATAAATTGACAAACATGTTGGTTAAACAGCTGAATAAAAAGGGGGAACATGATATTTTGGTTTTGCCGTGGCAGACAGAGGCGTGCTGAGAGTGTAAAAGCATCAACGTTTAGAGTCGTCAGATACTAAATAAGCTTTTACAACTATTTTACTTTTTAAAGAGATTAATACTGAAAAATTATTTACTTTGATAGAGTGACCAGAAGAAGTTTAAACACATTTACACTACATCCCCAAAAGTCAGAGTACAATAAGTCAGTAGAGATGACACTGTAGAAAATTTAATCTGATCAACTTCTTAGTGTTTATTCTTTTTAGCTCTAAAATCAAATATTTGTTTAAACTGGTGCCAATAAAATCATCCTCATTGATCCTAATGATTTTAGTCTTTTGGTCATAAAGATGAACACAAATCAACATTATCCTCTTACAGACTGTGCCAGTTCATGTCAGTATAACACCACCATATAACTGTAACAGATAACTGTGTCCAATTCAATGTTCTGCAGGAATCGGATCAATTGTTATGATTTCTTCAGTTGAAAAATGCATATTGACAATTATTTAATATAGCAGCATAATATCAATTCATTTAGACTCTGTTAATCACTGTAAAACATTATTTAAGACTATATTTCTGGGCGAATGGAGTCAGTAAAAACAAATATCAG